CTCACTTGGTAGCCCAGGCTGGCCTCGAAATCACAGAGATCCGCCTGCCTCTGCCTCCCGAGTGCTGGGATTAAAGGCGTGTGCCACCACCGCCCGGCTGGATCTAATTTTTTTTAAGACAGGGTCTCACTACTCACGATTTAGCCTTGGCTGGTCTGGAATTCGCTGTATAGACCAGGCTGGCCTCAAACTAGCAGAGATCTGCCTGCCTCTCCCTCCTGAGTGAGGGGTCAAAGGTGTACAGCAAAGAGCACCAGGATAAGTTTCTACTTCTTATAAGTCTCATTGGATTAGGGATCTCACTAAGGCTTTATTTTAGCTTCATTACTATTTCAAAGATCCTAACTGTAGGGTTGGCAAGCTATCTCAGTAGGTGAAAGTGCTTGTCGAACAAGTCTCAGTCCTGATGAGAGAAGTGACTCTAAAAGGTTGTCCTCTGACTCCTGTATGCATGCCATAGTGTGGATATGTACACACGCACACACACACCACCACCACCACCACCACCACCACCACCACTACTACTACTACTACTAATAATAATAATAAACAAAGTTAAAAAATTTTAAAGAGCCTAATTCTAGCTGGGCCTGATGGCACACATATGTGATTCTAGCACTTGGGAGGCTGAGCCAGGAGGATATCTGTGAGTTAGCTCAAGGTCAGTCTGAGCTACATAGTAAGATCATTATCAGCCTGGGATGCTTAACAAGACCTTGTACCAAAAAATCTCAACAAAAAATAATTCTAGCTGTAAATATGATTAAATTTTTGAGGAACTGAGTGAGGATTTGGGGCTTCAACATATAAATTCAAATTCAGCCCAGTTCTGCTGGGGACAGTCCCAACCATTGTCAAACTTTTCTTCTTTCAGTCACCTCATGGATCACCTTTGAGAAGGACACACTCCTTCCTCACTCTGTAAATAATAATAACAGCCCCAACAGCCCCAGCATTGCTGAATGGTGCCTAAGGGCTGAATAACCTCTCTTCACTGTGACCAATGGCAGTGGTTTTTTTCCTGGCACACACTATTACAAGAGCACAGACTGATCTCTGGGGTTTCGGAATGCCTAATTAAAAAGCGCTGTAGCAGGAAGCAGAACACAGTTACACATCAGCATCACATTGTTCTTATTTCAGAGATGGAAGAAACAAGGACTTTTTTACTGAACTGTGTGAGGATGTGGGAAAGGATGGCCTACAGAGCCCGTGGGAGTTCTTGCTGGCCACTCAGAGAAGGCCTTGGGCTTTTGCACGTCAGTAAAAGCCACGGTCACTTAGCTGGCTGAGAGTCCACTTTCCTTGAAAGTGATGGGCTGGGAAGGTTGGACCCATGGAGATGGCCGCTCACTGAGGACTATAGGGGACTCTGACTCATTTCAAAATTAACTCCTTCAGCAGAACCTTTTTAGTAAAGATCTATCAGGAGCTGCGGGTTGTGGGCCTATGTCCTGTTTCCTTCCCGTTGCTGTGTTAGGATGTTTGACCAAAGCACCACAGAGGAGAAAGAGTTCTCTTTCCAGATGACAGCCCATCACGGAGGGAAGTTAGAGCATTTCCTCTGACCAAGGACCTGGAACTCACTTCACAGACAAAGAAGTGGAGCAGGAACACCCATGGAGGATGCTGCAAGCTGGCTGACTCCAAGGCTGGCTTGT